GAGGACAGAGTGGAACTGCACCACAGGGTCTCCAAGGCTGTCAGTCTTCACAGAAGCAAAGCCCAAACCACACCCACTGCCTGGAGTCCATTCCGACCCACAGCGCCCCTAGAGGACAGAGTGGGACTGCCTACAGGGTCTCCAAGGCTGTAATCTTCACAGAAACAGCTGCAGACCTTTCATTTAGCAGCTGAGCACTTAACCACTGTGACACCATGCTCCTTGTCTGACACACACACACACACGTGTGTGTACGTGTCTCTGTACATAGCTGTGGTCCTGGCCCCGCCCCCTGTGCAGAGAACTGCCCACAGGGTTTCCAAGGCTGTGACCTTTTGGAAGCAGATCGTGGCCTGTTTTCTGAGGTGCCTCTGGGTGTGTTCAAACTGCTGACTTTTTGGCTAGTGGTAGAGCGCTTAACTCTCTGCGACACCCAGGAGCGCTTGTGTAAACCCAGCTCAACCAAACGTGTTGAATGGATGCTGACTGACAGCGACCCTGAAGGAGAGAGTGGGACTGCCCCGAGGAGCTTCTAAGGCTGTCATTGTCCACGGATGCACTCTGCACACCTTCCGTCCGTGGAGTGGCTGGTGAATTCCAACCACTGACCTTCTGGTTAGCAGCCAAGCACTTTAACCACTGTGCCATCAGGGCTCCTAGAAACTGTCTTAGGCCCTGGGAAAACAGCAATGAATGACTGGTGAGACTCCCTGGCCTCTCAGACTTTATATGCTGAGAAGACAGACAGAAAACAAGTAATCAAATTCATTTTTACTATAATGTCAGATAATAGTATTGTTTTAAAAAGCAGAATCAGAATTCAGAAAGTAATGGGGGAGCCAGGGAGTGGTCAGGGAGGACCTCTCTGAGGAGGTGACCCTTGAGGAGGTGCTACGTGAAGTGAAGGAACAAACTGTACAGAGATTGGAGTGGGGGCATCACTTTAGAGGAGACAATGTGTGTACATGTGACCCACGCCCCCTGGGCACAGGGTCGGTGCCCGGAGCCCCTCCTGCTGGTGCTGTTGTTAGTGGTAACAGTAAGACAGGACCGAAACCTAAAGTGAACCAGCTGCCATTGAGTCCACGCTACTCCTGGTGCCCCGTGGAGTCAGAGCAGAACTGTGCCCCACAGGTCCTCAAGGGCCGACGTTTCAGAAGCAGACCTCAGACCTTTCTTCCAAGACGCCTCTTGGGGGTCTTGAACCTCCAGCCTTTTGTCACCCACCCAGGGACTCTGTAGTGATAATCATGGTGGGTTTTTGTTCTAACAGAAGCATCAAGGCAAGTGGAAAAGCATGAAGGGTGAGGAGGCGCCTGGCTGGGAGACGGGAAGCCAGGAGCCAGGGTTGCTGCTGTGGTGGAGACTAACCGGGTGATAGACAGGAAATAGACCAAATGTTGACCCCATCTGAGGAGTGGGGTGACCTGCCTGAGGTCACACAGCTGGTGAGGCCCCCCACAAAGCCTCTCTGAGCCGCCCCTGTCTCTGCAGGAATGCTCGCCCTACGCGGCCCACCTCTACGATGCCGAGGACCCGTCCACGCCCCTGCGGACGGTGCCCGGACTCTGCGAGGATTACTGTCTCGACATGTGGCAAACGTGCCGGGGCCTGTTCCGCCACCTCTCGCCCGACCGTGAGCTCTGGGCACTGGAAGGCAACCGGGCCAAGTTCTGCCGCTACCTGGCCCTGGACGACACGGACTACTGCTTCCCACGCCTGCTGGTCAACGAGAACCTTAACTCCAACTTGGGCCGGGTGGTGGCCGATGCCAAGGGCTGCCTGCAGCTCTGCCTGGAGGAAGTGGCCAACGGGCTGCGCAACCCCGTGGCCATGGTTCACGCACAGGACGGCACCCACCGCTTCTTTGTGGCCGAGCAGGTGGGGCTGGTGTGGGCCTACCTGCCTGACCGCTCGAGGCTTGAGAAGGCCTTCCTGAACATCAGCCGGGCGGTGCTCACCTCGCCCTGGGAGGGTGACGAGCGTGGCTTCCTGGGCATTGCCTTCCACCCCAGGTTCCGACACAATGGCAAGCTGTACGTGTACTACTCCGTGGGGGTCGGCTTCGACGAGTGGATCCGCATCAGCGAGTTCAGGGTCTCTGAGGACGACATGAACACCGTGGACCACAGCTCCGAGAGGTGGTGTGCCCGGGGAGCCTGGCCAGGGTGGGGCAGGGCTGGGTGCTCCAGAAGTTGTTAAACCATCAAGGTTCCTGAGTAAGAGGAAGGACACCTGCCAAGCAGACATCACCCACATATCGGGTCCTAAGGCCTGGACCTGGCCTTCAAGGCCCAGCCATCTGGAGTGCATCCTCGTTAATGGAGGGTTCTGTAGAGATGCACTCCCCCCAAGATGCACTCAGTGTGTTAGCCGACTTTCCCAGTCATCTGCAGACATGCACGGAGCACTGAAAGACTCGAGGTGCCAGGGGTGCCACCCTCAGCTGAGGTTGCACACGGTGACGCCCTGCCTCCTCGTTTCAGCTCTCGTGTCCTTTCTGCATCTATGTTTCCAGGTTTGTGCTTTTCGGGGGCGACTTCGCTCTTTGATGGTCCCCAAGCATAGTGCTGAAGTGGGTCTAGTGTTGCTGTGTGTGAGAAGGTTGGGGTGTGTAAGGAGAAGGTCAGCGTGTCCCGTCACACATTACGGTGCTGCTGGCCATGAGTTCAATGTTAACAAACCAGAACTAAACCAAACTCACTGTTGTACAGCAATCCCGACTCACAGTGACCCCTCCTTGGGTTTCTGAGGCGGTACATAAGTAGATTGCCTGATCTTCCTTCCGAGGAGTGGCTGGTAGGTTTGAACCGCCAGCCCTGTGGTTAGCAGTCAAATGCCTTAGGCACTATGCCACCAGAGCTCCCAGAGTTCAGTGTTAATGAGCCCATAATATATATTAAACAGCATCTCTTTAAACAGAAACACACATAAAACAAGGCTGTGTAGTGATCAGTTGACGAGAATGTTGGACCCAGAGGCTAGATTTCCTTAGAGCAGTGGTGCGGTTAGGATTCACTAAGTCAGCGTTGGTGGTGACCTCATAGAAGGGCTTGTTAGTACCGTTGTGTCGATTCTGACTCATAGTGACCACGTGTGACAGTGGAGCTGCCCCACAAGGTTTCCTAGGCTGTAATCTTCATGAAAAGGAGAGGCCTGGAGGCACAGTGGGTAAGGCATTTGGCTGCTAACTGGAAGGTTGGCGGTTCAAACCCACCAGCTGCCCTACGAGAGGAGGGTGAGACAGTCTACTTCCATAAAGATTTACAGCCTTGGAAACCCTGTGGGGGTCACTCTGAGTTGGAATTAACTTGATGGCAGTGGGTTTGGTTTTTGGAATCTTTATGGAAAGGAGCCTTGGTGGCACAGGGTTAAGTGCTCAGCTCTGAGAGGTCGATGGTTTGAACCCACCAGTGACTCTGCGGGAGAAAGATGAGGCAGTCTGCTTCTGTAAAGATTTACAGCCTTGGAGACCCTACGGGGGCCACTGTGAGTCAGAATCAGCTCGACGGCAGTGGGTTTGGTTTTTTGGTTTGGTAAGGGCTGCAGGCAGAACACAGAACACACGGACTGAGTGCATTTCAGAGTCGGGGTTCAGTTAGGTGCTAACAGGAAGCCAGCGGGCTGGGACATGTGGTGGGAGGTGTGCTGCCCTGGCTGTAGAGGAGGTTCCCGAGGGGGCGCGTGTGGGACACAGCCCACACCCCCATCCACTGTCCCTCGAGGTAACTGCAGAGAGCAGAGGAGGTGGTTCCTGGAAGGAGTGCAGTGAGAGGCTGCCATGGGGTGGCTGTGATGATGGAGAAGAGACCGCGTGCCACTGACAAGCCTGAAGCTGTTACGTAATCACAGGGAGGGTGCCAGCAGCAGGGAGAGAGAGCAGGAGCCCGGAACTAGAAGACTGGAGCTCTAGCCTCAGCTCTGCTTCCTGTGGGCTGTGTGACCTTGGGCAAGATGCTCTCCCTCTCTGAGCCTCCAGGTTCTCATTGGCACAAGTGGAAGTGATTATCCCTGGCCCCGCCAAAGTACCAAGTCCTTGTGAAAATCACTTGCTAGAAAGGACATGAAAGGCCTTAGCAGGTGTGAAGTGGCTTCTAAGAGGGTTTGTGTTTGTGGCTCCTGGGGGGGAGGTTGAGTCCTGGTATTCCTGCCCGGCCAGGGCACCTAGAGTGCTGCTGGGATGTGGAACAGGTTTCAATGACGCGTCCAGAGTAAGACTAGGAGAAAAGGCCTGGCAGCCTGCTTTCCAAAACCAGCCCGTGAGAGCCGTGGGGACCCCAGCAGCCTGGTCCACAGCCCACCAAGGGGACGGCGCAGGGCCGGGCAGTGTTCTACGCGTTGTGTGTGGGGTTGCCGGGGCCGACGCCGTGCAGCCAGTAACAACAACCTCTTCCTTTAGGATCATCCTGGAGGTAGAAGAGCCAGCCTCGAACCACAATGGGGGCCAGCTGCTCTTCGGAGACGACGGGTGCCTCTACATCTTCACCGGGGATGGCGGGATGGCTGGAGACCCCTTTGGACAGTTTGGAAATGCCCAGAACAAGTATGTTCTGCTTAGTGTTGCTTGGTGGGTTGGTCTGTATCCCCCAGCCCCTTCCACGTCTCCGGAGGGAAGTTACTTCCCCAGCAAACAGCGTAGGGCAGTTGGTTCCCCACTCAGCCTGCTGAGGCCCTAGGCAGGCCACTTCCTCCCATCAGTTACAGGGAACAGGTAGTCATGCTCACTGGGAGGCTGGTCGTGAGGCCTGAAGGCGGTCATGTTTATCAGGCATGGAGCCCACGGGTCCAAAGGAAAGATGGATGCGAAAAGGACTTTGGGGCAGCATCATCTGACCTCCTCTAACTTCACAAGAGGAAGACAGAATTGTCATCACCAGCCCTAGGCTTATTTATTATTATTTGTTTTCTTTTTATTGTGATTTGGGTGAAAATCTACAGAGCAAATACACTTTCCATACAGCAGTTCACACACACTTTGTCTCATGACATTGACCACAATTTACCACAATGCAACATCTCCCCTCCCACTTCCTCCCGACAGTTACCTCCTCCTTGTATCTATCCCTCCATGCATTCCTGCCCCCTGAGCTGTCTCCCTGTGCATAAGCAGCCCTTCTTTCTCCCACACTTGTTCTCTCCAAGGAGTGTACCTACCTCAGGTAAATGTTCAACTCATATGCCTGTCCATTGTTTGGCTGGAAGCCACAGGCAATGCGTTCAATTCCAGACCTGAAGGGCAGCTAGGGGCCATAGTCTCAGTGGTTCCACCAGGCTCCATTGGGCCAGCAAACCTGGTCCCCCCCTGTTTTTTTTCCCAAATGATTTTGAGTTTTGTTCCACATTATTCTCCGTGTCTATCCAGGATCTCCTACATAGATCCTCTTCCAAGTGGTTGACAGTAGTAGCCAGGCACTATCCAGTTCTTCTGGTCTCATAGTCATATAGGCTGCAGATCAGATGGTGTACCAGTCACCAGGACTAATTGTTTCCATAAACTTTTGGTTTTCTTCATTCTTCTTGTCTCTGGACGAGGAGAGACCCATGGTTGCATCTAGATGGCAGCTTGCAAGCTTTTAAGATCCCAGTCGCTACTCCCCACAGTAGGAGGTGGAACAATGTTTCGTGTAGTATGTTATGCCAATTGGGCTTGATGTCCTCTGCGACTATGGTCCCAAGCCCACAGGTTCAACTACTCGGTCCCTCTGGGTAGCTGGCTGTGACCAAGCAGCGACTACAGTCTTGCCCCTTGTCAGCTCCATTATACACCTGGGATTTCAGGTCATAGACATAAAGTTACAGGACCACTGTCTGCCAACCCTATACATGTTCTTGGGTGCACTCCCCACTTCATAGACATAGCTAATAGTTCAGCCTGTCCACCCATCTATCCACCCATATACCCGTGTTTGCCTAGGCTTATTAGTAAGAGGCCAGACAGCAGGCCACCAGCCTCCAACCTTTTTAGCAATTCTGACACCGGCTGTCCCTCCCACGGCACTCACTACTTCTCTGCTGGGTTCGATCATTGTTGCGATGGCCACACAGAACTCAGACAGTACTCACGCTTATGGGGTTTATTGGGGAAGTAACAGGCTACATCTCAGGTTCAGGAACGTGCTCAGGATACAGTTCTCCCATCAGGGCAGTCTCCCGTCTGCTGTGCCCCCAGGCACGCCTCTCTTGGCCTCTCGGCCTGACCTCTGTCCTGCTCAGGCGAGTGTTACAGAGCTCTTCTAGCTCTGCTGACAGGGACACCCAGGTGCACGCCACTCTGCCAGCAAGCCCCTGCCCAAGGGCACTCAGCTGTCTTGCCCCAGGGGCCAGGTAAGCCCACCGCTCTGTCTGTGCCTCTCGCTTCCCTGCTGCTGTCTCCCTGCCAGGGCACCTCTCAGCCAAGGCGGTCCAGCGCAGGGATCTCGGGGCCAAGGACACGCTCCAGTTCACCCCCAGCTTTTCTCTCTTGATGGCATCGAGCTCCCTTCTCTGCCTCTCCAAAAATGCAAACCAAACTCACTGCCACTGAGTTGGATCTGACTCATAGCAACCCGTTCTTGGTTTTCTGAGGCAGTATGTCTATGGAAATAGATTGCCCAATCTTCCTTCTAAGGAGTGGCTGGTGGGTTTGAACGTCCAGCCTTCTGGTTAGCAGTCAGATGCCTTAGACACTATGCCCTAGGAGGGTTCATTTTAAGCCTGGCAGAGTGACAGAACTAACCAATCTCAACATCAGAGTTCTACAC